GGGGGCTGTGCTGGTGAGTATCTGAGTGTCTGTGTTGCAGGGGACAGTTTGTCAGTTTGACCATGTGCTTGAGTGTTTGTTTGTTTGAACAGTGTGAATTGGGAGTGCTTTGTTCCATGTGGGCCTGACTGTTATAAAAAGGCAGTCAGCAGCGAACCAGCTGTGTGGCGAACAGCGGAGGCTAGCAGAGAGAGTTTGCCTGGGGGTTCACCTCAGGAGAGCCCACTGAGGCTTGCATCTTGCGGGCTTCTGTGAATTGCTGCAAGAGCTGAGGAAGCTCTTAGAAGGAAGCAATTATGGAAGGTGAGCATTCAGTTGTTGTAACCTGCACAAGTTGTGCCATGTTTGTCTTTCTTTCACAGGAGAGAAGTGACAAAGTGCAAGCTGCTTTCCATATTGGAAGAGAAGGTTCGACGTCTGGAGAAACAAGTATCAACCGTGCGTTGCCTACGAGAAAATGAAGATTTCCTGGACAGACGTCAGGATATGCTTGTACGGGCACAACGTTCTAAAGATTCAGAGCAGGCTGCCCAGAGGGGACAGAGGGACGGTGAAGAAATTTGGCAGCATGTGACCTCCAGAAGAAGAAAGAGAAGCGTCCATGTACCAGCAATGGAGATACAGGTGAACAACTGTTTTCATGTTCTCTCCACAGGTACTAATGCGGAGAGTGGACTAGATGATACCTCTGAGGGAAGGGAGCAGAAGGAGGCTCCACCGATTGGAAGGCATGAGATGCACTGTCCTAGGGATTGGGGTTCCAAAACCATTGCTCCCAAGAGAAGGAAAAGGGTGGTGGTGGTCGGGGACTCCCTCCTCTGGGGGACTGAGTCATCTATCTGCTGCCCCAACTGAGAAAAGCGAGAGGCCTGCTGCTTGCCAGGAGCTAGGATTCACGATGTGATGGAGAGACTGCCGAGACTCATCAAGCCGTCAGATCGCTACCCCTTCCTGCTTCTCCACGTGGGCAGCAATACTGCCAAGAATGACCTTGAGCAGATCACTGCAGACTACGTGGCTCTGGGAAGAAAGATAAAGGAGTTTGAGGCGCAAGTGGTGTTCTCGTCCATCCTCCCTGTGCAGGGAAAAGGTCTGGGTTGAATTGTGGAATTGTGAAAGTCAACGAATGGCTACACAGGTGGTGTCAGAGAGAAGGCTTTGAATTCTTCGACCATGGGATGGTGTTCCAAGAAGGAGGAGTGCTAGGCAGAGATGGGCTCCACCTAAGGAAGAGAGGGAAGAGCATCTTCGCAAGCAGGCTGGCTAACCTAGTGAGGAGGGTTTTAAACTAGGTTCACTGGGGTAAGGAGACCAAAGACTTTCTGGGCTCCAGCTGGCAGGCACCTCCAGAGTTTCAGAGGGATCACAGATACAGCATAGAGCCTGGACAGCATCAGACTCCAGACACTTATGAACAGCA